AGGCCAAGGCATCCTGCCTTACTAGAGGCACCTCACCTCCACTCCCTGTGGGTTCCTTGGATTCACTTCTTTATCCCAGCAACCTTCTCCTACTACTACTTTATTTCAGACACCTTCCTCTTCTGCTGACACCAGCTCACTCCTTTGCACGGGGTGACAGCAAGCTGAGAGAGCGCGCGCGCAGCAGCTGGAGCTTCTTGTCTGGAGCCAGAGCTCCGCAGAGGAGCCGTTTGCAGCCAGACCGGCGGGGGTTCCCACGAGGCGCGGCACGAGGCTCAAAGCGGTTCCGTCGCCGCCCGACCGTAGGCACGGGGCATGACCCGGCCTGGCCGGCGAGGGGCCCACTGGAGACGCGGACAAGCGCTACTGGCGGCACGGGCGGCCGAGAACCCCCCAGTCAGGGCGCAACCCCGCGACGCCCGCCGGGCTCACTGTTGGGCTGGGCTCCCGCTTCCGCACCCCCAGCGCAGCCCTGCGGCTGCTGCACGCACCCTGGCAACGTCACTGCTTCGCCGCTGCCTCCCAATGGCCCGCGCTGCCGGCCGCCCCGCCCCCCGGATCTGCTTTATCTTCCGCTCAGCGCCGCCAGTCACCTCCGGGCGCCCTGGTGCCGGGGCTTTCCTACGGCTCACTGTTGGGCTGGGCTCCCGCTTCCGCACCCCCAGCGCAGCCCTGCGGCTGCTGCACGCACCCTGGCAACGTCACTGCTTCGCCGCTGCCTCCCAATGGCCCGCGCTGCCGGCCGCCCCGCCCCCCGGATCTGCTTTATCTTCCGCTCAGCGCCGCCAGTCACCTCCGGGCGCCCTGGTGCCGGGGCTTTCCTACAAAAGCGGCCGCTTGCGGTAGCCACCCGGCGGGGGCTCGGCCTCGCCCCCCCCAGCGAAAAGCAACCCTAGACGAGTGTCCGCGGAGCCACCGCTACCAGCGGCCCCGGGCAGAGCGAGCTCGGCGCATGGTAGCCTCTCGCTCTCGGGCGTTGGGGCTGTGAGCCTCAGCCAGTCTGGGCCCCTGTAGCACACTCCTGGAGCACTGTAACACCAGGAACATCGTGCCAGCTTGAATTCAGGAACCTCAGGCCGTTTTCCATGGCAAGATTTGCAGTGAAAATAGAAACAAGCCCAAGAGCTGAAAGGCTGACTTCAGAAGCAGGAAAGCAAATACAATACTGCCTGCGTGGACGGCCACCTGAAGTAGGAGTCTTCCCCCACTTCATGAAAATACAGGAAGATGCTTGCTTTATCATCACTCGTGGGGAAATGAAGGATAGCAGTATTTAGCCCCAGTGCAGAGGCTTAAGGAAAGGGGAGGAAGGCAAGTTCAAAAAAGAGCCACTGAATCCAAAACAGGGGCAAAATATTTTACAAGAGCACCTGGATACAGTCATGCAAACATGTTACTTGTAACAATTGAGTATACAGATTGCTCTGCAACTACATTTGTCACCAAATCTATAATGGAAACATCTTACTGGCTTGAAGCATTTTCACTTTTTGGCAAATAGAAACTTTGGTAAGTAATCTGTACCATTACAAAAACCAAATGCTTCAAAAAAGGAGCCTTTCCTGGTCACACAGGTCACCAAGTGACATACTTTACTTGGAAGAGATTGTAAACATCCCACCCTGTTAAAGGCAATTCTAAATATCTCGAAGCAGTACTGACTGTTACATGCGCAGTCTCTGCAGTTTAAATACTGGAATACACAAGTGTTACAAATATGGAGTTGTGTGCAACACAGTAGTGATTACAAAGCATTATTAAATTAAGGCAAAGTCTGTTCAAGTGGCAGAGTCTAGAGTTTAGTCCAGAAAGGCACAACTTGGATATTTGGCTCCCACTTCTTCAGCAACATGGGGTCAAAAGAGACCTCTTTAAATGGAGTGAGACAGAGAAGAGGATAGATACCTAGGTCTTTCTTCAAATGCATTTAGAAAGCAACTACCGACAGCATTATATTGGCTCCAGAGTTGCAAAACCTAAAACCGTACTAAATCCTCTTCACCAGCTCATACTCAAGTTTATAAGGCACTGTACAAGTTGTGGGCTGTGCTTATTAGTATTTAACAAGTAGGAGTGCCTCTTAAGGCACACTTTCTATAAGTCAGAGAAAAGCTAATGTTTCACTAATCAGAATAGTTCTGCTTCATACATCAGTAGGTGAGCTTGAGAACACAGCAGGTTTGCAGTAGAGACTGAAGTAAGATCTTCAACTGTTGTGAGTTTCTTCTTAGAACTCATGAGGACACATTCCAGACTATAAATAGAAGAGGGGGGGGGGGTAGGGGAGTGGGTCAAGATCAGAACAACTTCCCCCTTCCCAAAAGGCAAGCATAGAAAAAAAAAAATAAAAAAAAAATAAAGCAATCCTGTAACAAACTCATAAAAGTCTCAAATCATTCCCTGCAGTCGCTTCTCCCCAACCCATGATTTTCTTTCTGCATGCATCTGCTTTCAGGAGTCACATACTGGGTACTTCTAACTTGCAAATTATTTATGGCATCCACATTTGTAGTTGCAGACCACACACACCTACCTCTATGTACTTTAGAGAAAGGATTTCTCACAAGCCTTAAGCTACATAAGCTTCTTTATCTCCATTTAAATATTAAGAAACCAAGACAAGGTTTGAGAGCATCTTCCTCATGCTCCCAGAAGAAAAAAAAAAAAAAAAAAAAAAACAACACTGGTAAAGCTGCAACTAGAACTCACTTTTAGTTCTGGTCCCCTGCTAGATCCCATTTCACTGCACAGGAGTTACTGTTTCCAAATGTCACCGCATTGTTACTGGTATACCAGTAACATGCAATCTGGCAGCATTAGTACTTCAGACTACCACTTTTGTCAGACATTTAAATATTGTTAAAAGTAAGTATTGCTGCGTAAACTGTGTTTTTAATACCCTGAACTTTATGAAACACAGTGGCTGCTGTTGATACATTGGTCTGACCTGAAAATGAATATGCCCCAGCTAGCTAACCCCACTGAGGAGTCTTTTAAAAGAAGGAAAAATAAAACCCAAAAGACTTACCAATGATGATTATAATGATGATGAGAACAGTAGCAATCAGTATTGCCCACATCTGTGTAAAAAGACACCACAGCATTACCAATGGACCAGCTCTAATGAAACTTTTAAGTTAAGGCAGCAAAAAAAGGTAAAAACTTCAGTCTTGCTTCAGGCAACATTAGCCAAGTTAGGTTTAAGTTCAGAACATAAAGGCCTGTTTTACTGTAGTTGTTCATACCACACCACAAAGTCCATCTAAGTTATGAGTTATGTAACATACAAGCTAGAGTGCTCAAAATTAAGCCTTCTTTACTTGACCCATCTTACAACTGTCCTTTACCACTGAATGTTCAGAAGCTACCAAGTGTTCCTAGCTCTTCCTATAATTGGAAATGGTCAAAGACCTAAAGCAACTGCAGTTTCCTCTACAGAGTTTTCTGCATGTTGCTACTCAACCTGCATCAGTGGACTTCTTCTGAATCTTAGATTACTGGAATCACTTCTCCAGGACAGCAATGTAGCTAAAAAAGAATCTTATGTAAAGCCAGGTTTTGGCTAGTACACAGCAAGTCAGAGGCTTTCATGTGGCTCCAAAGTACTATTTTTTTTTTTTTTTTGTACTTAAGGCATTTTTGGGTGCACAATTTTGCCACTGTGTAGCACACAGGTTCTTACAGGTCTCAAGATAGCGGTTATTGGTATTGGAAAAAACACTTAAGTCTGATGGTTACCTTGCAGTTCTTCCACCAATACTTTCTTTTCAGCTTGGCAGCACTTGTTTCAAACTGGGAAGCTCCTGCTTGCAGGGCATCGGCACGGTCATCCAACTCGGACAGCTTCTGATCTCGCTCCAACACCTTGTCTACATTCACCCTCATGATGTCCACCACCTACAAGTCAAAGGCTGTATTAAGTGATTCATAAACCAAATCCATTCCCCCCACTGGCTTTTTAAAGAAAGAAAAAAAGCCCAAAACAAAAAAACAAAACAAAACACAAACTTGAAAGATACCACTGTCGTAAACCAAGTCGAAGCTACCACCTTTTAAGAAGTTCTTACTTTATTAAGAACATTTGTAAGTTGTTCATTTACTTGTGAAATCCTAGGCAGGCATCAGTTCATTATCAGAAGCTGTGGGTTGAGATCCCCGAGAAGCACAAGTAAGCCATTAAGACTGTTGTGATGTCAGCACAGCTTAAGAGCAAAGATATGAAAACCCTACTGTTTAAACCACACATTTCTCCTCCACTCATTTAGCATACAAGCCCATCGAACTTTTCTAAATGGCTAGAATAGCACACAGTTTGCCTATCAACTCAAGAGATTGTACTCTCCTTCAAAGGATAGGTTTTGGGTTTCCACACAAAGTTGATATAAACTACTTGATGATCTGATTAGGTCCCTTCCAACCCTACCAACTATGAAACTGCATTTATTCCAATCCAAAAGGAGGTTGTTCACCTCCCCTTGCTTTCAACATGTGAGGGGAAGCCCCTCATCTTGGATTTGAGCACAAGGCCATGAGGGGAACAAGTGGCTGCTGCAGCTCCAACTCCACCCCTGCCTGAGGGAGTCCTGAACCAGGCTTAGAGCTACAGCTGCTGCCCCCACCTCCTCTGCCTCCAATCCTCCCCCAACTTACTTTCTGGCTCTAGCCTGGAACATGGAGCACATGGTTGCTCTGGCCCCAGTCCATGTGCTTGCTCAGTAGTAACAATGGCAACAACAGCTGTGGCCTGGCTATGGGGCTGGGGCTGTTGCCACAACTGTTACTGTAAGGCTGGACTGAAGCAGCCATGTGCTGTGCTCCTGTGGGGGACGGATGACACCAAGGGACAGAGGCAATGGGGCAGGTGCAAGGAGCTAGGAATCAGGACAAGACAGGAACTGGAAGGATGGGGTTAGGTAGGACAGAGATAGACAGAAGGGGACAAGGGTTTAAACTACTTGATTCCCCCACTGCCTGACCCTGCAATCAATGCTTGCCTGGCAACACCACAGAGGTAGGAGTGGTGGGGGGTTAACACAAATTTAAGGTGACCCTCCAATAACTAGAGTCTATACATAGAAGATTAGAACCAATTTATAAAAAGTGTCCATATAGAATCTAGGTCAGGGGTAGGCAACCCCCAGCACGGGTGCCAGAGTGTGGCACATGAAGGTATTTTGCTTGACACTCATGCCATGGGGTGGATGGTGGGGAAGGGCCCAGGGCTGCACTGTTACAACAACATACAAGTCAAAGTTGGGGGTGTTTCTGGCACTCTGCCCAAAAGTTGTCAACCCCTGAATTCTAAGGGGGGGGGGTAGTAATCTTAAATTCAGATTCATCTTGGAGTCAGGTAATTACAATAACTACAAGTTTCAATGTCTTTTCAGCTCCTGAAAGGGGAGACTCATCCTCTCCCAGAAGCCAAGCTCACCAATGCCTTTTTAATGTCCAAGTCTTGCAGAGTTAGTGCACAGAGCAAGTGAACCAAGGGTCACTTACTAATATAGGAACAAGTTGCTTGCAACAAATGAAGAAACAGTACATGAGACTAAGGGCAAGAACAAACATGAAGAGATGCTGACCCTTCGTTAACATACCCAGGCAGACAAATTTAATTTTGATCACATTACATTTTAGCTGCATCTCCCTCCACCCACCCCCTCCCCCGGGGTCTCCTGATGTCAGTAGACCAGGAGAAGTGCAGGTGAAGACTGTACCTCATCTACTTGGTGCTGTGTTTGCTGAAGACGACGATTACTGCCAGAGGCAGCGCTTGAGCTTCCAGTGCCACTTGCCGACCTGCAGAGATAGTTGTAGTTATTTTATACTGCATCCCTAACTGGGACACAAGACTTCCAGACAGATTCTATATGCAAGTCACAGAAAATGGCTCAGCAACCAGTCCCCATTCTCAGTAGGATGAAGAGACAGAAATGCAGTTATTGCCACAGTCCTTCAGTGGGGTTCTTGCAACTGCCAACAAGAATAAAGCCTCATCCACCTGCTCTAAAGCAGGGATTGTGGGTAGCCTTCGTGCCACTTTCAAGCATCCCAAAAACAAAGAACCAGAAAGCAGCAGGGTAAGGCACACCTGAGCTTCCTTGCTTCAGCTCCAGTTTTGGAGTGAGAGAAATAGAAACCGATGGCCAGTAAGTAAACCCTGGCAATAGCAGCCTCAATAGCAGCCTAGAGGCAGTACAGACATTCCTCAGACCACAATCTCTCATAAGTTAGTAGTCTTTAAGCAGCAAAGAAGTGAAGTTAGCTACAGGTAGAGTTTCCAAGTCTTTATCACTAGTGCATGGCTGTAGAAGCAGCAGAGGGCAAGCAGAGGCAGACTAATACAACAGCCAAGAAGGAAATAAGAGATCAACAATAGCTCACATTGCTATCAAATGCCAAGAACTGCAACCCATGAATATTTTTCTCCCTTTTGAAATAAGGGCACATGAATTCAGGCACATTTTATTATCTGAACTTGGAAGTTCAATAGCTGTCAACAGAAATTTAGATCAACTTGCGGAAAAAGAGATGGTTTCAAGTAATTATGTCCATGCAGCATCTCCTGCTATTTAATAATTTTCCTAGGTCACTAGGAAAAGAAAGGCAATTCAGTATTCAGTGCTAGATACTTCAGAAGACAAGAAGCTTCGTAAACAGTTACAAAGCTTCTCTGAACCCAGTTTTTCCCCCGAACCTCAGGTAGCAAGTGACTGTGTTATTGCCTTCTACAACTTGAAAGTTTTAAAGTTAATAAGGTTATAAAACACAGCAGGTATTTCCTTTCTCTCTCATATCCTTCCTAAGTTAGGGGAAGTTCTTCATTCTCAATATGTCCCTTCACTCATCTGCTCAACTTTTATACCTCTTTTATGAACACCAGGTGCCTATATTCCAGTGCAGAGGCTGCTCTGGCATTCTGCAATTACAATGCAGCAAACTCCACTAATGGAATCTGGAGTGCTAATTACCACACTCCAACAGCCAGCTTGCATCTGGTATATCATGTCCCTGCACTTCAAAATAGTGGTAAGGGCACTTTATTTTCAAACACACCCCAGTGCCATTTTGAAGCACCGCGATGCTGATACACCAGACCCTTCAGGTACTTTAATTAGAGCCCCTCTAATTAAACTCCCCCCACCCCTGGAGCAGGTGTAGAGAGTGCACTGTGTTTAGTATCCTGGTTTACTCTGTTCCGGATCCAGGCACACCATTACATTCCCCTTAGCCAATATCAACAGGTAGCAGTACTCAAGCAATTAACTTTTTCTAGGAGTCTTGAAAGCAATATCTGCAGTTAGAGGCGACTGAACTACCCAGGACTTAGAAGTGACTTCCCACAGGGCTGCGCCTGGAAGGAAAGGGGAAGGCTCAGGCCCGTTGTCAGATCTCTAGGGGAATCCTCCCGGCGAGCTGGATCCCAGCACTGGTGCCACCTTTTTGAGTACAGAAGATTAGCCCCAGTGCCTTAAATCTTTCATGCAAACTGGATGCCTCTTAAACAGAAAGAAGGCCGCCGTGGCCCCCGCTGAGCTCGGGGCACTTCAGGCGCGTGCGAGAGCCCCTGGCAACGCTCTTACACGCAAGGAGCCACCGCGGCCGAGGCCCACGCTCGCCGCCCCCCGCTCCGGGCCCGGCCCCTCAGGACCAGCCTGTCTCGAG